AGGAGGAGGGGGGGGGGATGAAGGGGGGTGAGGGGGGGAGGAGAAGCGGGAGGAGCGGGAGAGAGGAGGAGGAGGAGGAGGAGCTGGAGAGAGGGGGGCAACGAGAGGAGGGAGCGGGAGCGGGAGAGAGGAGGAGGACGTAGCGGGGTAGACTGAACAAGCGTGTGTGGGTTGCAGATGGAGTGTGAGAGGCAGCGGGAATGTCATGCCTACATATTCTTCGGGCTCAAGACGGAGGACGGGGAGCGTGCCGGGAGATGTTTCGGCAAGATGTGGAGAGCTGGGGAGAGAATCGAGTGGCTTCCTCGAGCTTACTTGCATGCGGTGAGATGAATGAGGATGGGGATGGCACGACCTTGCCGTGCCTTGAATACTCCTCCTCCTCCTTTCTCCTCTTCCTCCTTTCTGCTCCTTCTCTTCTCAACCTTGTTCGCTTCGTCGTCCTCTTCCACACTGCCTTCTGCTCCCCCGTCCTCTCTTCGTCTCCCCCGTCCTCTCATCCTCTCTCTCTTCCTCTTGCTCTTCACTCTACTCCACCATCCCACCATCTTCTCCCCTCTCTCCACTTGTCATCCTCCCTTTCCCTGTCTGCCCTCCTCAGTCTCCTTGCAGACTTGTGGTTTCGTTCCGAGCACAGCGAGCAAATACTCTCAGAGCAAATTCGGACGAACGTCATTGCTGTGGTTGCTGAGGACAGCCGTTGAACGCATGATCTCGGTACGGAGGAAGAGGAAGAGGAAGAGGCGAGGGCGGGACGAGGAGGAGATGATGATGATGATGAGGAAGGGATGGGTTGGAGGAGACGAGGAATAGGATGAAGATGACTTGAAGAGGAGGTTGATGTTTGACGTTTGTTGAGACGTACAGAATTCTGTTTGTGAGTCTTCTTCAGCTGATTTTCTCGTCAGAGCTCCTTCTGGGCGATAAGTGAGCTTTCCTCGCACCCTCAAATCCTCGGCGGCATCGTTGCGACTCTGCTCACTCTTGCCTGGCTGCTTCACTACATCAAGACGCGACGAGAGGTGAAAGGAGGTGGCTGGTGCTGGTGCTGGTGCTGGTGCTGGTGCTGGTGCTGGTGCTGCTTCTCCTCCTTCTCCTTCTCCTCCTCTTCCTCCAGCTGCCGGTGCTTCTGGTGCTTCTGGTGCTTCTGGTGCTAGTGTTGCTGCTGCTCTTAGTCTTCCCATCACTTGTCTTCGCTCTCTCCCTCTCCTCTGGTTTCCTTGCCCTCGTCATGCTCCTACTCCTTCTCCTGATCATGCTCCTGCTCATGTCAGGAGGAGATGAAGCGAGTGGAACAGAAAAGAGAAGAATATCGGCAGGCAGAGCTGAGGCGGATCAGAGAAGAGGTCTGGAAGGAGGAGGAGTAGGAGGGAGGGGAGGGGGAGGGGAGAGGGAGGAGGGAGGGGAGGGGGACCAGGACGAGACGAAGGAGAGGGGGAGGGGAGCAGGAGGAACAGCAGTGCTGGAAAGGGACAATGAAATGATTTTCAGGTGAGCGAAAGGGAACGGCAGAAGGAGCTCAGCAAGCAGCTCAAGCGAGAGCTGTGGGAGGCAGAGAAGCTGGAGGAGGAAAGAAAGAAGAAGGAGATCGAAGCCAATGAGGTGAGGAGGAGGGGAGAAGGAGATGAGGGAGGGAGGGAGGGAGAGAGAGGGAGAGAGAAAGAAGAGCAGGAGCAGGAGCAGGAGCAAGGATTGTTCTGATGCTGAATTTTGCAGATTTTGCTGCGAGAAAGAATGCAGAACAAGTATAACCATTTGGAGCAGAAGAAACGAACCGCGAGAGAGCAGAAGAAGAAGGAAGAGGAAGAGAAGAAGCGAAAGCAGCAGGAGGAGGAACTGAAGAGGAGGCTGCCTGCACTGTGAGAGCCTGACGAGAAAGGGGAGGAGGAGGGAATGAAGGGGAGGGAATGAAGGGGGAGGGGGAGGGGGAGAGGAGGAGCTGAGGGAGAAGGATGGGAATGACAGGTTGTCAGGTACAAGGAGGCAGCAAGGGGAATATGCGAGGAGGAGGAGGAAGCCTCATCCGGTCGACGCCTTGGTGAGGAGGAGGGGGAGGAGGAGAGGAGGAGAGGAGGAGGATACTGATACTGGCTGACTGTCATGACAGGAGGAGAGCAGGGCAGTGGAGACTCTGCCGAGAACGTGAGAACGAGATGGAAGGAGGAAGAGGGACAGAGATAAGTGGAAGAGGGTGAGGGAAGTGGGGAGAAGAGCGGGGAAGAGGAGACGGAGGAGAAAGGAGGAGGAGGAGCTGAGTGGGCGGAGTTGATTTCTGGTCAGGCAAGGATGGCGAGCGTGCGAGCAGCGGCACAGCGACTTGATGCTGCTGTCTCCTCGGGAGAGGTAGGAGGAGGAGGAGGAGGAGGAGGAGGAGGAGGGGTGGGGAGGAGGGAGGAGGGAGGAGGGAGGAGGAGGAAGAGGTGGTGGTGGTGGAGGTGG